GTCTTAACAAATCTTGCCTGCCACTGGAGGAAATCATCAATGTGTTCCAGGCCGATGAAGTAGAGCAGTTTAGCGCAGCACGGGTAGGGAAATGCAGTCCTGGCTGCTGATGCTGTGAATGGTTAGGGTCCTAGACAGGTGTCAAAGCACTTGGAGTGGCGTCAGCGTTCTGGCCATCGACCCGCTCTAACAGCTTTTGGATTATATCGCCACCGTTCGCATTGATACTTGCCTGACTCTTGAGAGCTTGCTTGTTGCTGCTGCAAGGCAGGAAGCAGCCCTTTGCAATGCAAGGTTTCCCCATGTCTGAAGCCAGCGCAAAAATCAGCAAAGAGAGCTGGTACCAGAGAATTCTGCATGCGTTTGAGCTGGCAGATTTTGCGCCGCTCGGCTGAGGGGCATGTTCTGGCTTGTGCTGCCATGTCTTCGTGTATTTGTTTTCAAAGTTCGCGTTGCTGAGGGACGACGCGGCCATGCGTGGCCTGCAGCACTGGTGGCTGAGTCGAGCCAACTCGGTGGGGGGCAGAGGAGGTCGGCTCGGGGTTGGGTCCTGCTATGTCCTGCTGCACCCCGGAGCAACTGGCAAGTCTTGGTGGAGGTCCTTCTGGGCTAGTCTTCGCGCACCTTGCAGCATGGTTTCCGTGACTCTGCGGCAGATGGCAGTGAAAGCAGAGCTTTGTAGGAGCTCAAGCTGCTAAGTCCACGCCTGGGAAGGCGTATTTTCTCTGCGCTGTTCTTGCTTACGTGAGTACCATACGTGAGTACCATACGTGAGTACCATACGTGAGTACCATACGTGAGTACCATACGTGAGTACCATACTTGGAAGTGCACGCCAGCAGCGGGTGCCCTTAAATTGATCGCGTGTTGAAGAAGTCCAAGGGTTCTCTGCAATAACATGGCGGCTTACAACATCGTGGCTTGACGATGCCTTTGCCGCATATGATGGCTCAGATACCAAGACAGATCGTTTGAAAAATAGTTTTCCATGTTCAGCTGCACCTGAAGATTGGTCGACATATGCTGCTGCACTGGTTTGTTGCGGAGTGCCTGTTGTACCATTCCGCTGCTTTACGGGCTGAGTCGGCCGAGCTGGCCAGCATCAACACCAGTGCCAATCGGTCGGCCTTTCACTTTTCTGTAATCAATAACGCCTCCTTGCCCTTGAATTTCCTTGCTTTGCCAAAAGTGGCACGTGTTTATGCACACACCCAGAATCAGGTGCAGCCTGGCGAGAAATTCTCATGTCTTGCAGCTTTAGGCGCATATGACCTGCATGTGATTGTACACGACGGGCAGAACGATTGGTATCAGGCAAGTGAGACGACATGGGGCCTGACCAAAGAAGGGCTGTCCTGGACAATTTCCATTGCATCTGGTGCAGGAGTTGGACAGCTGGCAGTCGGTGCTGCCGCGGCTGTGACAGCTAGTCTTACCGCGGCTGCTGCAGCACCGCTCGTGATCACAATGGCAGCAACAGCGACATTCTGGGGCGTGGCGGTGTTCTCGTCCATGGCATGTTCATTTTTGACGGATGTTTCCATAGATTTTGTACGACAGCAGCTTGATGATATGCAGCAGAACGCCACGCATGAGCAAGACCTTTCGATCAATGAAATGGAACGTGGTCGCTTGGAATTACTTGACCTGACACACAAGTTTGGAGCTCACAAGGATGCAGCAGTCTTCGAGAATGGTGTGGAGTATCTCTGCTGCTGTGAGGAGCCCGTGAATGTGACGGACATGCGTTGCGAGCTTTTTCGTGCGGATGGCCCAAGCAAGACTTGGTTCAGCTCTGGTTGTCCAGACATTGCAGGGGATGGCTACAAGCCCTGGTGGGAGTCCGGTCGATGTGCGGTTCCGCGAAGCCCATTTCAGCCATCCGCCCTGGGACCCGATCGCTTAGTCCGTTTCAGTAGCGTTGTCAAAGAAGGGACGGTGCGTCGAGCCTTTGCGGCATCGTTCCCCAATCTGAATGTGGACTATGTCGTGATGACCATGTCAACAGCCGAGCGGTATTTTGCCGCCATGCAGTCCGAGTTTTCCGAGTGGAAAATCATCCGAGGAGCCGAGCGGCGTTTCGTCATCGCTGGCGGGTTTATGAACCCAAGCAAGATGCCACTGGCGACAGGAGATGAGCCATGGACCTTGATTGACTTCATGCCATTGCAGATGGGGGAGATCAAACCAACCTTCGGATGCAAGATCTCAGGTGAGGACGACTTTTGGCAGACTCAGGAGACGGCCTGCCGGGACCTATGCAAGGAAGCGAGCGCAGCGAGCTGCTTCAACTCCTGCACCGAGCCTTTCAAGCGGGCCTTAGACCAGGAGCTCCAGACCCTGCGAATCTTGAAGGCTGTGGATGTTCCAGCTGGCACCGAGGTCCTGATCGTGGACAACAGGACTCTTCTTGAGGAAGCTTCCATGTCATCGCTAGTGCCTCTTCCAGAGGGTGTAGATGCAGTCTTGGGCAAAAGGGCACGCATTGTGGCAGTTGACCTGCGACGCCTTACAGCTACAATTGAAGTTCAACAGGAAACCCTGAAGCTGCCAATGGAGGGCTTACAGCCTGCAGAGCAGGAGCTTCCTCTACTTTCCGGTTCAAAACGCACCTTGCTTGCCGCCCCGCGTTTCGGACAGTGCTGGAGCACCTGCTCTGAACACTCCTGGACATCAACTGCACTCAAAGGACTCAAGAAGACCGTCACCCTGGGAGGTTCGGGGCTCTGGTGCTACACAGCCACAGCCGCCACAGCCGAGCTTCGAAATTCACAGCTTCCCCTGGGGTCGCTTTGCCTGGAAGATGATGAGTGCCCAAATCTTCAGACAGAGGATGCAGCAGACGATGCTGCAGCCATGTGCATGGACAAATGCTCATGACTCATCGCAGAAGCAAAAGAGCTTGCGAGGACTCAGAGACTTCATGGTCATCAGAGTGCCTAGAATAGGTCCTGACAAGCTTCATCGCTACGTGCAGCAATCCAATCCAAGTGTCATGAAATTCAGCAAGGCTTTTGAGAGCGCAGCCCTTTGGACTTTGCATCCTGGACTACGCTCGCTTGATGCTCCTGGGAAGCTTTGCGCAATAGAGACGTGTAAGACAACAAAGTTGTGCTGCTGTGAAACTTCGACTCACGGTGCGCAGTGTCATGCCTCATAACATTCGAAGCATGCTGAGATGGGGTGCAGCTACACCGGTACCTGAACCATTCCTTGCACTCGGCCTCAGCCAAGACAAAGTTGTCACTGCTTCTCTAGGGGAATTGGCACAAGCTTCGGTGTGAAGGCCTGGGCAGTTGCTGCGAGATCCAGGTGCTGAGGCGGGAAAGCATACATGCTGGATCGAGCGGATGTTCTCATGGCTGTTTCTTTCTTATTCTGCTATTAACGGAAGCATGATTCAATGTAAATGGAAAGCGTCATGTCGGCTTGATTTGTAAGCTTGCTGACTGCAAGTGTGAACTCCTCGTGACATGCTTGTTGTCCACCCTGAGATCATGACGAAAACCGTCATTGCTCAGCGCTTCAGCAATCCAGCAGCCTTCTTTGCCGAGCGTGCTGGGATCTCAGGATCTCGGGCAGCTTCTGCGAGTTTTTGTTGCAGCTCGTTGCTTGCATGGGCTTGTGTCAATCTGCAAACATGCGTCCCATGCCTTGTCAAATCGAGTGCATCGTCCATATTTTGACCTAGAATAGGGAAGCAGAAGACCAGTAAAGAATGGTTTGCCTTGTTCATGTTAGTTGCTGGCCACTGAGGAGAGCAGTTATTACAAACTGGGAGCAGAGCCGTTTGCCCTTGCCGCCATCGCGGACCGGCTTGCTCCAGCAGCCATCACTTCAACATCAGCATCGCTGAAATAGAGTTTCATACTGAAATGGAAAACATGGAAACGCTTGTGCGAGGAGATGCGACGCTTGGATCCCCACGTGGACCTGTCCCTTCTTGAGCCGCCACAAACAGCATGGACTCACGAGAGCAGAAGAAAGGCGGCGAAAAAGGTTTCAAGTTCTTCTGAGGTCGGACATGGTCGGACAAGTTGGCCAAGTCATTTTATCCAGTATGAGAAACGAATTCATAAGGTCCCCTTCTTGAGGCAGTCTGTGAAGTGAAATGGTACAAGCAGCAAACTAAGCACCCATGGCAGCCCAAGCCCGGGGTCAAGCGCCGGCTGGCCCTGTTAGGTGTGCTCGTTCGACAGGGAAGACAAGGGATGTTCAAGGTCAAGATCAGGGGTGGGGAAGCTGAATTGCGAAATTGCAAGAGGATTTGGACGAACCGATGTGCCGGGCGGGGGGGGGGGTCTTATGAACCAGCGGCAAGTTTAGGCAGTTAGGGTATTTGTGTCTGATCATCTCACTGGCATACCGGCATCTTCGTTCTGTGCACACCGTCGGCGAGCAACCGCGCTAAGGATGCCACATCTCTAACAACTTGTGCATAGGCAGTTCGTTGAAAAAGCGCTTGATGGATCTTCTTGCAGATTTTTGGCCCACAGCATCGGGGACTTGCCGCTAGAGCTGGCGGGGAAGCGGATGTGTTTCGCCGCATTGCCAAACGCGGAGTTTGAGAATTGTTCAGCTACCAGCAGATACACTGCCGCCAGTCTGCCCTGACAGGGCCTGCAAGATGGGTGATGAAGTAGAGGAGGGAGAACCGAAGTATCAGCCTGCCCGTCACACTTGCTCAATCCTTGGCATGTTCTGAACCACACTCAATCCGTGTGCTAGGGGCTACGAACTAACGCAACGGATGCTTGCTGTAAGGTGAGTTTCTGAAGGAATGCCTGAGCATTGTGTGTTTGCATTCATTTCACTTTCTGTTGGCTTTGTGCTTGGTGATTGACAACGACGCCAGGCTCTTTGTGAAGGGTGCCGACAAACCCCGTGAGGACAGCATGCCCCGGCAAACATACTTAATAACATTGACCACGACATGTGCAATTTGTCGACCCTGTGACCAGCATGCTAAGGTCATGCAGGCATGTAGAGGTAGCATCCTTGCCGTCAGTGGTCTTGCCCATCTCCGATGAAAGCTGCGAGGATGGGTCACAGAAGTTCACGGGTCAAGGCTCGAAATTTTTGAGACTGCTCAAGCTTGGCATCGCTTTGGACATTGTTCGAATGATGAGTGCGAATGGGCTAGAGCATCAAAGTGTACTGCTCGCAGCCTGTCGCCTGCACCGTTGTTGGCGAATGCTTTCTGGCATTTACCAGATGTGGGTGGTAAGGATGCCAAAATCTCCTCTCTTCCTGAAATCTCCTAGAAATTTGTTTTTATTTTCGTTCTCGCTTTTTCCACATGCAAGGCAAGGCTCTCTACCTAACTGGTGACACCTACGACGGCACTTACGTGGAGGGCCTCCGTGCAGGCAACGAGTGCTCGATAAAAAGCAGTGTGCGCATTTGCTGAGTGTTGCGCTCATTGGCGGGAACTGTAGAGAGATGCCTCAGCTGTGATGGCAAGGCAAGCCCCCAACTATGTCTGCTTAAGACAGCAGTGCACACACATGGAGAGCGTTATGGCTGGCCGACTGGTTCCTGGTTCTTTCAATCAATCCAGCAACTCGTTGGTTGCTGAAGGAAAAGGACTCTATGTCTTCAAGAAGACTGGTGACAGCTATGAAGGCTGGAAAGATTGCATCGTCTTGGAAACTTAGGGAGTGATGGGGCACCATGTTGGGACCCATGTGATTCGAGTTACGTCCTATTTGGTGTGATTTTGTGGGCCAGAGGCAAGTACGAGGAGAACAGGAAGCACGGCTTTGGCAAGATGACGTACAGGCGCCTCAAGAGGGCGCTACGCCGGGCCTGTCTAGTGACAACAGCAGCACCACGTCGCAAGTACACCAGTGGTTGTCGGTAAGGAGCTCAGTCGTAACATGTAAGCCCTTGGCTCTTGATGCTCAAGACGCTTGGTACCACTCCCGTTGAAACGAAAGAGTGCGTTCAGCTCTTCGTTTGACTCATTCCATCTTTCAAAAGGGTGCATGCAAGCTTCAACAAGCTTTTCGAGGGGTAGTTGCGAGGCGGTTAAGAGCTCACAAGAGTGGTCAACCAGCATTTCATCCGCGAGGCCTCTAGGCTAGGCCAGGGTCACAGACGCAAGTTGCCAAGAATCAGTCCGGGGCAGAGTTTCTACGGCGTGACAACGCAAGAGCTTCACTCATGGCGTGCCCTTCTGAATTTGCAATCGTGGCTGCAATTTTTCTTGTTGTGGTGTTACTTCCTTCGTTTTTGGCGTGGTTAAGGTCCTACCCTCCGACGTAAAGTGTACTAGAGAGAAACTCGGCCTGAATGTGCATGAAGAATGTGTGTGTGTGTGTGTCACGGGGCCTCCAATGCGTGATGGTGACGGGAGAGGGACTCTGGAGAAGTTTGGATGAAAAACTAATGATAAGTACTACCATGTGCTTAAGTGCTGCAACATTCGTGATGCGCTGATTGCGAGCAGTGAAGCTTGCATATTGCTCGCAGGAACAATGTCGGTGAGGACCGGGGGCTTGGAAAATCCTTCCTACGTCAATATCATTTTGGTCTCACCATGCCGGACATATGAACAAGTGCATCGCGCAATGGATCCAGCGCATGCTTTGGTGTTCGTCTTATCGTGGGTATTCTAACATTGCTACTCTACGATCCATATTTGCAAGCAGCCTACGCACTTTCGAACAGTTGCAGGAGGAGGATGCAGATCCACCAGATGAGAACGCTCCGCCGCGGGGAGGTTGCTAGCCATGGCACTTGAGTCCTTACCCCTGCCATCAACAAGAGCTGAGGGACGAAAGGGGCGTCAGATCAGAATGGTATAGGGCGAGATAAAAGACAGACCAGATTTCCCCGAATGAAAGTTCTGGACTTTGTCCTCAAATCCTGCTGATGTTGCTGCGGTGCAGCTGTAGATCAGCGCCTCGCTGCCATGCAAGGCACCTATTTGGGCAACTTCACTGCTGGCCTTCGCGGATGCCTAGCCAACGCCAGCCCTGAGGACTCCGACTGCTTGTCGAGCCTGACATCTAATTCTTAGCTACGGAGATGTCCTTTGGCAAAAGCTTCGATGTTGCAGCTTGTTGGCTGACATACTGCCAGAGCTGCTGACAAACAGGCTCCAGCAGACGGCACTTTCACCTACGTCAATGGAGACGCAGCCAGAGCCAGATCCAGCAAGTTGTTCATATAGCATATTGTTTTACGACGTCAAGCTTTGTGCAAGACTGGTTGGATCGACTGTCCAGCAGGGGAGGATATCTTAATTCCTGCTTCAGCCGCATGAGCTCCAGGAGCCAGTGTCCCGAAGGCTTGTAGTTGCAGGATGTCAGCGGAAAGACTGTGATTAGCTGCAACTGGTTAAGACTCAGACTTCAGGCACGACAGGGATTCAGACGTCGTTCAATCGTTGACGTCAAGTGCTGCCTAGGCATATGCCGGTCAGTGGAGGGAAGGCAAGAAGCATGGCAACGGCACATACACGCTCTCGCCCCGGATGTTGTAAAGTGTTGTGCAGACACGTATTTCGTTGCCATGAAGTCTACATAGCAGCATGTGGCTGCAATGAGAGTGACTGTTTGTTCATGAGGCTTACTCAGAGTAGTCGAAATGGCACTTTGGCACAGTTTCACAGTAAGTTCCTGCCCACGACTCCCAACTGAGCGGCCTGGATCCCAACCAAAACTAGTTTCAGCAGGATAGCCTCCGAACGCAGAGTGTGCGGGTTTCGCTCCAAATTCTTGCATCCAGCCGTTCAGGTTCGCCAAGGATGGCACTCAGCTAATTGGAGAATGGGAAGATGGCAAGATCGTCAGTGGGAAGTTGCTTGGCTCAGTACTCTTGCATGCACCCAAAACTCTTTCCTGTAGGTCCAGAAGGATTCCGAAACTAAGGTGGGTGTTCCCCAATGGCACCTTCTACTGCGGCAAGTTCAGGCCTCTAGCTCAGCTTCGTGAATTTGATTGCTTGAAGAGCCCTCAGTCCGCCGACCCAACAAGCATGGAAAGGAGGGATCCGCCACAAGACGTTTGCAAACCTTTCAAGATTGGAACTTTGACACCCTGATGCCTTAATGTTACACCGACACCACTTCCATGCCCGCCAATGCCCGCACACAGTCCCAACAAAATCCACAGGGTTGGTGCACAATAGAAATCCTCTCCGCCTTTGTGTTCGAGTGTGTCGGGCTTTCTTTCGATGCCATCATACCATCCATGTTTGGACCATGCCGTCCTATTTGGTGCGTCTTGCCCCAGAAGATCTGCTGAAACCTAGCTCGATGAGCACTTTGCCACGCAGGTGTTTTTGCCGTTTTTGCCTTCAAGCAAACATTGATGGCTGCACCGTTTCTCCTGCAAGGTCCCCAGCGATCCCTTGGGCCCCTGAAACATTCCGGGCGGGTTGGGAGGTCTTGGTGCGCAATTTGAATGTCCCTGTCTTTTTGCCCACCCCACAAGGCCCACAAGGCTCAACATGGCCTGCGGCCCTCTTATTCACGCAGCGCTGCGCAGCGCGCGGTTCACGTTTTTTTGTGGGGAGTCAGGAACAGAGTCGGATAGGCAGCCATAGCCGTCCAGCACGCCGCCCAAAGTTGGCAGACACAGCCGCAGAATACGGTTGTCCATCGATGTTGGACTCTTAGTTAGACATTCCTGGACCAAATTTCACAAGCCATGTGGCACTAATGACTGCCCAGAGGTACAACAAGCCTTATGGAAAGGGAGTGTGGGTTTTCAAGAATGGAAACCAGCTGGCTGGCGACTACCTGCAGAAGGTCTGCATGTGGGTGCATATCCAGTAGTTGAGAACTGCGTATCGTTTTCTAGTCTTTGCGCTTAGCGACTTAGCTCGATTGGCTCGAGCTTGCCAGGAGCAGGCCACCGAAGACGAGCCCGCAGAGGAGACGGAGGCAGCCAAGCGAGGGGTCGAAACCCCGCAACGCATCCTTTCTCAGCCTTTGTGCGAAAGACTTCGTCGGTTCTTTGGGCGTGGGTCTTCGCATGGTTCTTGCTTGCTTGCTTGCTTGCTTGCTTGCTTGCTTCAGTACGATATAGTACGATGAGCTGATACGTTCTTCGGCTCGGAACTAGACCTCCCATGGCTGCTATCCTGTGAACAGGCAGTTGCTCGCGTGCCCGAATTGTTCCTGCAATCTGTTGGATGAGCATCCGGGTCTCTGTGCGACTGGAAGCCTCGACAGACATCTCCTCAGGAATTCACAGCAAGCCACCGTTTAGTAATTGCGACTGCTGTTTCTACAAAGATTGAGCTGACAGCAGGGGGACCAGAGACAGAGGTTTCTGATGTACTTGTGCGATGTTGGAATGAAAACTCAGGGTTTAGGACAGGACCGAGTTCAATATCATCACGTGCTCGCTTGCAAAAGTTGCGCCAGGGAGCACCCAAACCGGATCCGAAGGCAGGCCCAGCAAGCTCTTGTGTGGGTGACACGCCAGGTGTCGCTTCTGTTTGAGCGCGGGCTTTTGAAAAGCAAGTGCAGCACGTGTCATATGTTCTAAACTTGACAGGTGTGGTGCCAGTTCAAGCCAAGCAAGAGTGTTGCCGTCAGAGGTGGCTCTATGTTGGGCACTTACTGCTTCACTGCTGCCGTCATTTCTGCCAATTCCACAACTCTTCCAGTACTGCGAACAGAGGTTTTATCCAAAAGTGGGTGCATAATCTTGCACTCCTGTACGACATTGGCGAGGCGGTTGCTCGAGTTGCTCTAGACCGACAGTGCAGTTGCCGCTGCAATTGGGTTGCGTTGCCTCGAGCAGGGAAATGCCTGAGCCAACGGTATCACCGCTTGTTTCACAATGCCTGAAGACTCAGGATGATGAACATGAATTCTGCTACCACTCTCACCCCAGCTTACAGCAACCGGTGTATTTGTCAGTTTGAGGAAAGCCTACTGCAAGAACAGGGGTCAAGACCCAGATGTCTAATTCAAGCAGAGTTTCACGGAGTGCTGGACTCAACACCCATTGGAGGGACAAAAGCAGATGAATAATTCTCT